TTCCTCTTAGAACACGGCTCAGGACTGGTGATGTTCAGGTGCTGATACCAGCAAACTCCCCTTTGAACTGGGCCTCTCTCTGTCAATGCTCTTTAACATTTGCCTGGCTCAGCATTGTGAAAGGGCCGCGCGTTCTCATCCGAGGTTTTCAGTGACGTAGTACTTAGATAGCCAGTGCTGGAGGTTCAGGCGATACCCCCAGGTACCTTAATTCAGGGCATTAAGCGAGCTGTTCCGTTTGTGGTTTTTATCCACCCCCTGTCAGACGGGAGAGCACTCGCTTCCCTGAGGAAAGCTGGTGAAGATCGTTCATCCAAAGGCATTTTGATTGTGGAATTGGGAGTCTTGATTACTGTTGTTACATGTCCTCAAACCACAGCATTATCTGAGCAGTCTTCATCTCCTACTGAAATATGCTCAGTCTGTCTCTTGTTACGACAAAACATCTGTGAAACGAGAAGCGCAAACTGCTGAGGGAAACTGCTAGAAGGGTCGGTTAACAGAAATGGGTCTGGTTAATGGAGTCTGTGCGGAACAGATGACTGAGAACTCTGCTTCTTCTGGGCCTTATTCCAGCCTTTCTGAGGAAGCTGCTCCTGCGAGCAGAGCGGAGAGCAGCCAGGTAAACAAGGCTGGTGAGAGCGCTCCGAATCCTGCGTGCCACGTGGTAGCCTCTGAGCACGCTCCTCGTCAGGCAGAACGCCTATCCCCGCACGTACGGAGGCGACCTCACACCAGTGCTTTGAGATGATTTAAACCTGGGCTTCAGAAGGAACTTGAAACAAGTCTTGCACGGATGAGTTGACTCTAAGTGCCCCAACTGGAACTGGATTTTTCAAAGAGGAGAGATTAGACCATAACTCCACTCCAGAGGGCGAAGCGGGGTTTGGATTCATCTCGGAGTAGGCGCCTTAAGTCTGCAGCGTCGCTGTATTTGGGGTTCTTTGCTGTAGGCAAACTTTTCCCGACGCTGACTTCTTGCCTGGCTCCTTTCCCTTGAATGGAAATAGCCGGCAGGCGGAAGACAGCGGTGTTTATATTAACGGGCCTGTTTACACAGCGTGACTCTGCCGTGTATATTCCTTGGGCTCCGATGGTGTTTGGGAAGCCTAACTCGGCCCTGCGAGTTTGTGAAGCAGAATTTGTGTGGCCCTGAGAGAGAAACGTTTGCTTGGAAAACATTAGGTTGTCACCCGCTCTGGCTGGCGGTTTAGCTCGGAGCTTGCGAGATGACAGAGGCTTAGGGTTTGCAGAATCCCAAAATCCCTGGGGCAGCGTCAGCGTCTTTGTCTCCTCTGTAATCCCCTCGCCTGGCCGGGGGATTTTTGTCCAGTGGGGTGAGCCGGGCTTTGCCCTTGCGTCCTGGCTCCTAGGACGTTGGTGATGCCTTCCGCCTCCCCCGCTTTGGTGGTTTTCCTCTCTTTTTGATAAATCTTAACTCATTAACGCTGGAATTCTTCTGTTTATGGACTCCGGAGCTGTAAACATACTCTGTCACCCTTGCAATTGCAAAGGACCGGGTGTGACGTTGCAAAGTCTTTCTCGGCTGTTTTTTTTTCCCCATCGCTAGAAATTGGCTTGATGGTTTGCAACGCTGAATCCTCGTCCCCCCACTTGCTCGCGGCCTGACTGCCTCTTGCCGTTGCAGGAGCTGATGACCGTCTTCCAGCTCCTGCC